GCTCCATTCCCTGCCTTTGAGCAGGGAATCTGTGCAGCTGCTATTGTTTGACATCCCACTGATTTCCTGACAGGGGTCTATTACACACTGCAGGTAGCCCAGGCACCTGAAGTGCCTGGAGAAGATGAGTAATACCCTGTTAGCATTTTAATTGCTCCTATTTTCCTGCTGTACATAATGTTCTTACATCCAACAGATCCAAACTGACTTAATTTTTATGCTAACAGGACTTTTCCCTTTCTCTCCCTCAGCTTTGTGTTCCTGCAGTTGTACCACTCCCCGTTCTTTGGAGATGAAAACAACAAGCCCCTCTTGCTGCCAAATGAGGTAGACAAACAGATTTATACATTCTTGTAGTTAATTACTCTAATTCCACTAATTTCTATACATAAATGATAGCAATGAATGTGCAGCTCAGTGGTGAGAGTTAAAGGTGTTTCCCACCAACAGTGCTGCAGGTGGGAGATCCTCTCTACCCCAATCCTGATGGTTCTTTCTGGCTCTGGATTGGATTTGGGACACTGGGAGATACTGCTGGTGCTGTTCCAGAATCCCAGGCAGGAGGCAGGATGAATTTGGGTGTGCTAGTAGGATGAGAGCTGAGCATTAGGTGACCTGTCAGCTCTCCATCTAATTGGGAAGAAGCTTTCTGTGGTCATTTGGGAAATGAGTCATGAACTCCCTGGAGAAGGTAGTGCTGGAATGAGTTTCTGGTGGGCTGAGCCCCACAGAACTCCTGCTGACAGCTTCCCCGTGCTTTGGGTGTCAGGCAGGAGGGAGCTCAGGTGAGATGAGGAGGTGCCTTGTGCAAGACACAATCATTTTTCATGGCTGGAGCTGAAATGAAGACACAATGTGATCTGTTGTGGCAAATGCATCCAACCCCTGCAGTTGGCCAGGTCATTTGTAAACCCAGGAGAGCTGGTGACAGATGCCACAGAGCACTGCTCTGTCCCTTGGGCTGATGTGCATTGCTCTCTGGCAGGAAAAGACTGGTGAAGGTTAGGAATCTGCTTGCTTTGTCCTGTCACTGTCCCCACTAGCTTTTAGGGTGGGCAGAGAGTGCGTAGAGATAAGATCATAGAATCCTGGAATGGTTTGGGTTGGAAGGGACCTTAAAGCCCATCCAGTTCCACCCCCTGGCATGGGCAAGGACACCTTCCCCTGGCCCAGGCTGCTCAGGTGTGACCTGTTCTGATTGCAGACGTTTGAGAGGTCAGTGCAGCTCCTGGATCAGATCCCATCCTATGACACACACAAGATTGCAGTGCTCTACGTTGGGGAAGGTCAGGTGAGTTGTGTACAGTGCTCTAACCCTCACAGGCAGCACTCTGCCTCTGAGACCTGTCCTGCCCCTGCAGTAGCTTTGCTTTCCCTTGGCTTCTTGCACTTAAAAACAGTGCCTGCATGACAGCCTTCTCGGGAAGTCACAACCTAATCCCAAGCAGGTGATAAATGGTGCTGGTGGAGAGCTCTTGGCACTGTGGGACTGTGTGGTGTGACTCTGCCCTGTCCCTGTCCCCCAGAGCAACAGCGAACTCGCCATCCTGTCCAATGAACATGGCTCCTATCGCTACACAGAGTTCCTCACTGGCCTGGGGAAGCTCATTGAGCTCAAGGACTGTCAGCCAGATAAGATCTACCTCGGTGGCCTGGACGTGTGTGGGGAGGATGGGCAGTTCACCTACTGCTGGCACGATGACATCATGCAAGGTGAGGTGGCTCCAGGAGCTTGCACAGGTGGTGTCTTCTCACCTCAACTGACACTGTTTCCTTTCCAGGGATGTAGTGATGACCTAGAGCTCTGTTCTCCTTTCTGTTCTCTGTGGTATCTCTGCAAGCCATAGGATAAAGCTTTGGAGAGGCACATACCTGTTTAAAAAATACTCTGTAGTATAATCTGCTTTGTAAAGTCATAGTCTCATAGATTGTTAAGGGGTTGGGATGGATCTTAAAGATTATCCAGTCCCAACCCCCTGCCCTGGGCAGGGACACCTCCCACCAGAGCAGGTTGCTCAAGGCTTTAGCCAAGGGGCAGCCACAGCCTCCCTGGGCAACCTGGGACAGTGTCTCACCACCCTCACAGACGCAGCTTGATGCAAGCAACATGTCCGTTTATTGTTGTTTTTCACAGATCCTTTTAGTCCCTTTGCTTAGCATATTCCCTGCTGATTGGCTTATTCTAAACATTAGGTGTGCACCAACTGGTCAACCTAAGGCACAACAACTTGTTGTTTTACCCCAGCAACATCCCAGCAACTTCCCAACCCGGGGCTGGTGAGCCAGCACTCAGCGCTTTCTGTTCAAGGGTCCCATCTCCACACCTACTCCTCCCAAGGCCCTCAGGCAACAAGTGCTAACACATCCCCTGACTAGCCCAGACATGCTGGAGCCTTGCTGAGAGCAGCCAGGCCACTCCCCACATCACAGGGAAAACTTTCTGATGTCTAATCAATCTAAATTTCCCCTCCTTGAATTAAAAGTGTCTGCTGACCATGCTGCTGTGCTCCTTTCCTCTGGCTGCTGCTCTCCATGCTCCAGGGACCACTGGAGCAGCCCCGTGGGACTGGATGCAGCTGTCACAGATGGGACAAACCTCTAACAACTAATAGTTCCTCTCATTTTGATGCTGGTACTGCCCTGTATGTTAGGGAAGTGCCTGGCACGTGGCCATTGCTGCTTACCCAGCCTCTTTCTGTTCCCTCTCCAGCCATTTTCCACATTGCTACTCTGATGCCCACAAAGGACTTAGACAAAAATCGCTGTGACAAGAAGAGGCACCTGGGGAATGACTTTGTTTCCATCATTTACAATGACTCTGGAGAGGACTTTAAACTGGGAACAATAAAGGTACCAGATTTCCCTTGTAGCTGTGTTACATGGGGGATGTGAAACCTTCAGTTGGTGCGTGTTACCTTAGCAGTGTGGAGAGCATGAGGGGAGGTTGTTTGCCTCGGTGGGTTCATAACACAGAGTCAGTTAGACTGGAAAAGACCTCCAGGGTCTCTGAGTCCAACTTGTGACCCATCACCACCTTGTCAACTAGAGCAGAGCGCTGAGTGCCATGTCCAGTCAGTCCTTGATCACTTGCAGGGATGGTGATTCCACCACCTCCCTGGGCAGTTGCAATGCCTGACAGCCCTTTCCATGGAGAAATTCCTCCTCCACTTGTGTGTTTCGGGCATTCACAGACTCACAGCGCTGCCAGTGAAGTGTTTTTGAGTGGTTTATTGTCTCCTCAGGGGCAGTTCAACTTCGTGCACGTGATCATCACACCCCTCGACTATGACTGCAACCTGGTGACGCTGCAATGTCGGAAAGGTGGGGATGCCTCAGCCCTCCCAGTGCTGGGAGTCAGTCACTGCCTTCACTGGGCACTGGGTTGGTGTTTCAAAACTCAAAACTTCTAGGAGGAACCCTCTGGAACCAGTTTGCCCAGTTCCACCTGGGTATGTCCTGGTCATATCACTTCCCCAAGGTATCTTCCCATTGGGTCACTCATAGTGTCTTCAAGCTTAAGACAAAGTGCTAACAGTAGAGCAGATCTCTCCAACAACTGGGAATGCTGGAGGAGATAGGAAGTGGAGCTCCCTGTGGTTTTGGCCTCTGCTGTCCCTCCCAGCACTCAGGACCTGAGCATGGCTCTGCAAGTTCTGCTGTGCTGGTGCAGGGTTCTGCAGGGTGTTTGCTCCCCTCCAAAGGGGAATTTCTGGGGGGGTTTCAGTCACACTTTGTGTCATGCCAAAGAACCCAGCAGGCTCTCCTCAAGTCTCTGGGGAGCAGCCAGAATTTGGGAAGCTGTAGCACAGGTTCTGTCACAGTGGGAGCTGTGGGGCTTGGTGGGAACTTCTGTCACAGCTACAGGCAACCTTTGGCTTGTTCTTAACTATCTGTTGTTCCTTTAAACCACAGACATGGAGGGGCTGGTGGACACAAGTGTTGCCAAGATCATCTCTGACAAGAACCTGCCCTTTGTGGCCCGGCAGATGGCCCTGCATGCCAATGTGAGTACCCTGAGCTCCCCCAGGCCTCCCAGCTGGGGCCTTACTCCATCACCAGCTTCCCAGGAAATCAGTGGGGCTTGCTAAAGCAAAGAAACAAGTCGTCTCCTTAACCTTGAAGCCAGAGTTGGCACATCCTAACTCAGCTGTATTTAATATGTGCTCAAACTGCACTGAAATCTTGTATGAATGTTACTGCTGTGGTTATGTTGATGTGGCTCCTCTCTCAACCTGCCTCTCCCCACCCCTCTCAAATCAGATGGCTTCCCAGGTCCACCACAGCCGGTCAAACCCCACTGACACCTACCCCTCCAAGTGGATTGCCAGGCTGAGGCACATCAAGAGGCTCCGGCACAGGGTGAGTGAAGCTGCTCTGAGGCTTTACAGCTGGGCTCTGCCGAGAGTCTTGGTGCAGTTCGGGCAGGTGAAAGCAGCTGTCAAAAACCTGCTGAGTGAGAGGAATGTGTATTTGGAGGTTAGAATCCCAGAATGAGAAGGAAGTGACCTTCAAGATCATCCATTTCTGATTCTAGGTGTTGCGGGAGTGATGGGTGTAATGATGGAGGTCTGGGCTTTGGAGCTTCCGAAGAGCTTCACTGCCACCAAGGGCTTTGGGAACCCAAATCATGGAATCGGTGCTGGCACCAGCTCTGCACTAGTGACCTGTCCTGCTGTCACTTGTGCTCACAGGGATGGTGGAGACAACAGTGCAGCAAAACACTCCAGCAGGTCCTTGTTTTGCTCACAATCCTTTGTTTCTATAGGGTTCCTGATGTGCTTAGCCAAGGAATGCACTTACAGGCTTTGTGCAAATGAAATTTGATGTCCATTGATCCTTCAGTTCAGTGCCTTGTTCATACAGAGCCACAGAATCAATTAGGGTGGAAAAGAGCTCTGAGACCATCCAGTCCAACCTGTGACCCATCACCACCTTGGCAACTAGCTCAGAGCACTGAGTGCCATGTCCAGTCCTTCCTTGAACACCTCCAGGGATGGTGACCCTACCACCTCCCTGAGCTGTTCCAATGCCTGACAGCCCTTTCCATGGAGAAATTCCTCCTGATGTCCACTATCTGGACACAGAGTGGCTCCCACTGAGTGTGGGGATGGTGGGTCTAGGTGTCCTGAGTGCCCTGCCTAGATGGAGAGTTCAGAGGGGATGGAGCTCATCCATTGTCCTTTGCCTTTCAGCTCCGTGAAGAAACACAGTACCAGAGCCCAGGCCTCCCCCTGCAGATGCACCCCCCTGCCCCCACAAAGGCTCCTGCCCAGGTGCCCCAGGACCCCCCTGCCACCTATGAGACAGGGCAAAGGAAGAGGCTCATCTCCTCTGTGGATGACTTCACCGAGTTTGTGTAGCTCCAGGGTGGACACTGAGCCCAGGGAGGTGTGACCTGTGTGAGATCCCTGCACCTGCATGGACACAGGGGTGGGAGGCACAGCCTGGCTCTGCTCCTTGCATGTGGACTTGGCACTGAACCCTGCCCAGGAGGTTTGGATGTTCCCCTGGCTCAGCCTGCAGCTCCTCAGAGGAGGACACTATTCCCAGCAGAAGCTCCAAGAGGACCAACTCAATGTGTTTGGTTGTATTGGGTTTGAGCTATTTTAGAGCCGCCATCTCCAGTGGGAACTTCCCTGCAGAGCCTTTCTTTGGGCTCCTTCCACAGCAGCTCTTGATGGAAGCAGCCAAAGGATGATCCTCATGTGAAGGTGCAGGAATTGGGGGGGGTTTTGATGACTTTATTGCGAATGAAATATGAAGTATTGAAACTCCAGTTGCTATTTCTGAGCATCCCTGGAATCCCAGCTCCTGCTTCAGGGCTCTCAGCACTTGGACTCCTGAGGCTCTAACTCGTTCTGCTGCCCACTCAGGGGAGAATTCATTTGGGTTTTCTCTCCTGCTCAAAATGCTGCTTAAATTCTGGTGGATCGGTCTCCATTTTGAGGGATTCACAGCCAACCCTCCATCCCTCAGCACAGATGGTTTTGCCACCAGAAGTATCAGCAAACAGGGAGGTGGAGCAGTGGAATGGCAGAGCTGGGCCAAGAATCCCTGGGGATGAGCAGTCTGACCCCCAAGGGCTCACCCTGTGGCCAGACCCATCTTCCAAGTCCATCTGCAGAACTTCCACTGCTTGCAGAAATGCTGGGGGTCACTCACCCTTCTCCAATGCAGCTGAGAAATCCCTTTTGGAGACAGTTGACATGTCTCAGGGCATCACCTCTGCACAAGTGTTGCACTGAGGCACTGTGCCAATCTCTCCTGGCACTCCTGGAGCAGTTCTGTGGGACCTTTTGGCAGGCCTGGAACGGGATTCTGCAGCCCATCTGGAGCTCAGGTGGGCACCAGACACCACACTACCCAACTGGGAGACACTATACTGTGAGCACTTCCTCTCCTGCCTTGTCCATGGATTTGGGACGGGCTGAGGTGAAGACAAGTGCAATGCGCACGTGGGACTGTGAAGTGCCAGGTGAGGGGACAGCAGTGTCACCCTCACTTGTGCAGGGGTGTGGGAAGGTCAAGTGTCTGTTGTGTTTGAGTCATAGAGGAAATACAGTATTTGGTTGGTTGGTGGCTCCTTGCTGGCTTGGGAAGGGTCACAGTATGCTTCCTAATCATCTAACGCCTTCCAGTTGTCCACCCCTCACACCTCCCTGTGGGATTCCTGGCTGTGTTCCAGTCCCTCTACTGGGATATTCCCCCCTGGTTCAGCTTCAGGTGACCTCTGCAGCAGGGAAGAGGCTTTTCAGTCAGTATTTCCCACTACAGGTGAGCTGGGGGAGCTCAGGGATGAGCCGGGGGAGCTCAGATCTGTTGTGCCATGGCGGGGCTGAGTGAGCCCTTGTGTCCAGCCTGTGTCTCTGTGGTGACCACAGGAGCTGATGCTCCTAATGCCAGCCCAGAGCTGGCCTGATAAGAGGATTTAAATGCCTTGTACTGTGCAGGAGACCTTAATTAACATGCTGGATGCAAGGAGCTGAGCTTTGCTCCTCCTCTCTCTGGTGGCACTGAGGGCTGGAGGCAGTGACAAACCACCCGAGCCAGGTCGCTGCAGTCAGTGTTTATTTGACCTTGTCAGTTTGTAAGAACCATCCCCACAGTTACAAAACAGATCATTTTTTGCAGTGAAATGCTGACAGACAGGAACAATTGGCACTTTGGTCACAATCCTTGCACGGTTGAAAACAAAAAGCACTTGCAGAAGTCCCTCCCTCTCCCTTGGAGCTCAGGGGTCAGGGGTTATTGCTATTGAAGCAGCTCCTGGTGCATCTGGGTGAGGTTTAAGACAATAAATAAGAAACCATCTCTTGGTGACTACAGACACAGAAATATACATTCAGGGGGTTATTGGTGAGGGCTGAGAGTGAAGTTTATTACTGTGAGGGTGTAACTGGTGAGTCCCTGTGGCTGCAGTGATGCCCTGGCCGGGACCTTGAGGGACACACAGGGACCTGCTGCACTGAGAACTGGGAGTGCTGGAAGCTGTGGGTGCTGCCCACCACGGAGGGTTGGGCATTTCAGGCCACCCCTGTGGGGGCAGAGCTGCTCTCCATACTCCTGGGGAAGGCCAGGAGTAGGGCAGTTGTCTGAGCCCAATTCTGCTCCTCTTTGATTAGAAGAAGCACTTTTTAAGTCACACACACACAGAGGGAAGCTTGGGCAGGAACAGGAATCCTGATGGATTTGGGGAGCAGCCTTGCCACAGCTGCCTGTTAGCTTGGGAACAGCTGCCCCAAGCACTTGGGACCCTGCTCTCCCCTCCACCTCTCCTTCCTGCACTTCACTCCTACTAACAACCTCTTAATGAGGATACTCAAGCCAAGAACTGACCTCCGGATCCTGAACTGAACTTTTTGGCACTTCAAGATCTTTCCAAGACCTGTTTGGTTCATTTCACTTACAGAACAGGGCCCACAGGGCCCTTGTGGGTGGCCAGACCTAGTCCCATGGTGCTCCACACAGCTCCTCACCTGTGCTGAACTACCAGAGTGTCTGCACTGGAGCAGTCAGCAATGAGCTTGACTCCAGCCCTGTGCCCTGAGCAGCTGCAAGGGACAACTATCAGGCCTTTAGGACATCTCTCCACTGCTCCTGTTGCTGCCTTGGGGGTTTGGGCACTGTCTCTGTCACCAAGAGTCATGGGCATATGTGCCAGAGCTGAGCCCGGTGCTGTGCTGCCTGGAGAAATTAGAGGGGAAAAAAATCCAAGCCAAAAGTTTTACATCTCCAGATGGAAACCCACAGGGTTTGTGCACAGAGTGCAAAGCTGACCAGCACCAGCACCGGGCCCAGGCCCGGGCTCACCTGGGCACTGTGGACCTGACTGTACCTGCTGCCGCTGGGCTGGGATCCTCCGTCTCCACCCGCCCACCTCCAGGCCCTTCTCTGTCACCTCCCACCTGCCTTTCCTGCCACCACCAAAGCCTCACAGTTACCTCTACTCCACCTCTCCCCTCTGTACGCCACTTCTCTGTGCCTTTCTGCTCTTTCAACGCTCACCAACCAGCTCCCCTCAGTGATCCTCCAGCTCACTACTTTTCTCCTGCCCACGTCCCTCTGCAACCTTTCCACAGCATCTGCCCTGCACAGCACCTGAGTTTTCCAAAGGTAACTTGCACCTGGCCCAAAGCCATCCCAGAGTCCCTCAGGTCCCCCTGCAGCCACCTAGGTGGGATGTGGCCAAGGAAGCACATGGATGTTGGAAGAAGTCTTTAGAAGTACCTGACCCAACTGGGGGCTGCAGGGGAGGTGATGGAACGATGGAAATGGCTCAGGAGCCCAATCTCTCTGCCTGGAAAGGTCTCCCCTGCTTCCAGGTGCTTCCAGGACCATCAGAGGCAAGATGCAGTCAAACCCAAGGCATCCTCCCCTGCAGCATGGCCTAGCTCAGCCTTCCCTTCCACCCTCTCACCTGTCCAAAGCTTGGCTCAGGTTCTGGAGCACAGGGAGGAGCACCCTGGAGGCTTTTTCCCCTTCACCTGCAGCCACTGCCCCAAGCCAGGGGGAGAGCACACACACCACACTCACACAGACATCCAATCCTTTATATACATGGGACATTCCCAGGAAGAAGCACTTAATACATCCTTTAAATAACTCTGACAATAATATTCTGCCCATGGCACCAATGCTATGAAAATATAGCAAACATACAAAAATATATACATTTAAAATCCAAACAAACCTCATATAAATTACTTACAATAGCCATAAGGTGAAATGGGGCTGAAGAGGTGACCACAGGCCCTGGGGGGGAGGCTCCAGGCACTGCTCAGCACCCCAAGCTGTGAGCTGGGGGTGCCCCCTGGCACTGGCCAGCTGTAGCCCAGCAGCTGTAGCCCAGTGCAGGGGGTATCAGGGCTAGAGGGACCCCAAAACAGCTCCCTCAGGGCCTCCCCCAGCACCTCTGGGTGCTGGCACAGCTCAAGCTGTGGTCACCTCCTCCTCACTGCCCATTTCAGGTTATGATTTCAACACACCAAATACTGCTTTGTGATATATTATCCCGTTCTGAGCTCACATGTGGCACTGGGAGCCAAGGAAAGCCTTGTTTAAAGTGCTGGGTAGTACATAGGAACAAGTAAACCAACATATACTTAGGGCAATACATTCCTTGGGGGAGACAAACCAAACAGCCAGCAGGGCCATGGCCGGGGCAGGTGGGGACCGTGGTGACACCAGCAAGCCGGGAACCCCACGGTGGGAGGTGTGG